GGAAACTGAGGTTCCAAGAAGTTGAGTCACTTATCAGGGCTACACAGGGGTTGGGTCCGAACCAGGACGGGAATCCAGGCCTCTCTGATTCCCACCCCTGTGCTCATCTGAGACTGTAGCTAGAAAAATCCCCCAGCCAGTCTTCATGACTCTGTTTCCCTCCCCAAGCCATCCTATATATTACTTCCAAGGTGAACTTCTTAAAACAGTGGTTTTATGATGTCACAAGAAATGACATGGGAGTTGTCTACTGCTTCATGACAAAATTATTCTACAGTGTCTTGTCTGTAATCTGACTCCACTCTACCTGAACACTTTTTAAAGTGTCACATACTCTCAATAGACATTGTTCAGTTGAATTATCAATTGCTGATGGGGAAACAGCAATTTGCAGTTCAGCTGAAAAATCCTACATGCCATAGTCCACAGCGCGTCAAAGCCCAGGCCAGTTCCGCTGGGCAGAGTTCCTCATGATCGCCAGACCCACAGGCCGGTGCTGCTGCTGCCTTCACGTCTTTATGTTCCATTCCTCACTGACTTCAATGGGCTTGGATCCTCAACGACGGATGAAAGTTAATAATGGTGACTTCTTATCTAGGGGAATTTCAATGCTGTAAAGCTATTATAAATTCTCAAAATGTATGTCACCAAAATCAGGAGAAATGAATATACTATAATAACTAAAAAGTAAATGTTGTTTCCTTCTTCCTATGTGATGAACATAATAACATTAAATTTTACCATCTTAACCACTTCTAAGCACACAGTTCCAGTTCAGCAGTGTCAAGTATATTCATACTGTTGTGTGACAGAACTTCTTCATCTTGCAAAACTGCCACACTTCTTAAACATTACTCTTCTCTTCTTCCTCTCCTGTTCCCTGGCAACCACCTTTCTACTTTCTGTTTCTATGATGTTGACTACTTTAGATACTTCATAGGAATGGAATCATACAGTGTATGTCCTTGTATGGCTGGTTTATTTCACTAAGCATAATGTCCTTGACATCCATTCATGTGTACCAAGTGTTAGCATTTCCTTCTTTTTAAACAGTCTATAATATTCTATTGTTTGGCTAGCACTTCTATTGATTTTTAAAAAAGGAAAAAAAAACCCCAAAATATTCCATTGTGTATATACACACCACATTCTGTTTATCTGTTTGTGGGTAAACATTTGGGCTGCTTTTACCACTTGGCTATTGTTTTTTTTTTTTTTTTGTTGAGACAGAGTCTCACTTTGTCGCCCAGGCTGGAGTGCAGTGGCCGGATCTCAGCTCACTGCAAGCTCCGCCTCCCGGGTTCACGCCATTCCCCTGCCTCAGCCTCCCGAGTAGCTGGGACTACAGACGCCCGCCACCTCGCCCGGCTAGGTTTTTGTATTTTTTAGCAGAGACGGGGTTTCACCGTGTTAGCCAGGATGGTCTCGATCTCCTGACCTTGTGATCCGCCCGTCTCGGCCTCCCAAAGTGCTGGGATTACAGGCTTGAGCCACCGCGCCCGGCCGACCACTTGGCTATTGTGAGTAATGTGCTACTATCTTTTTGAGACCTTGCTTTCAATTCTTTAGTATACTGGATCAAACGGTAATTCTAGTCTTAATTTTTTGAGGGTCCTCCATACTGTTTTCCACAATGGCTGCATCATCTCACATTCCCACCAACAGTGCAATTTCTCCACATTCTCACCAACTGTAGTTTCTTTTGGTGGAAAAACATTTTTTGGGGGAGGGGTGGGGGACAAGGTCTTGCTCTGTCGCCCAGGCTAGAGTGCACCAGCACGATCTCGGCTCACTGCAGCCTCTGCCTCCAGGGTTCAAGCAACTCTCCTGCCTCAGCCTACCGAGTAGCTGAGATTACAGGTGTGCGCCATCACATCCAGCTCATTTTTGTATTTTTAGTAGAGATGGGGTTTCGCCACGTTGGCCAGGCTGGTCTCAAACTCCTGACCTCAGGTGATCCACCTGCCTCGGCTTCCCAAAGTGCTGGGATTACAGGCGTGAGCCACTGCACCTGGCCCAAAAAGCCATTTTTGAAAACGATCTTGTATAAGAAGCAAAGACTGCTCCAAATTGAAATCAGTTTTAAAACCCCAAATGCCTACATACAATCAATCTGAGAGCATACAGAGCAGGCTCTTCCTACGACACTTCCCGCAGCTTCAGTCAGGTAGACAGAGCACATCCTTGATCATCAAAACTGCGTGCTGACTGTCAGCCCCTCTCTGGCTGGGGACAATTTCAAGAGAGCACATCTGTTCCACAGAGTATGGTCAATTCCAAAAACGTAATAAAGTGAATTTATAACGGTCTTGTTCAATAATCATGGTTAACCATCACTCCCAGAAACACTGCCCTCTGGAGGCTCCTGATTCCTGGGGCCGCAGCGGCCCTTCCCCGTCCATCCCTCACGCTAATGTCTCATCTTCCTCCCCATCTCTGCTTTCCTCCTGGCTGCAGCTGTCAGGGAGTAGAACGCCCCCGTCCACATTTTCAGCCCTGGCCAGTTACAGCCTTAGGAATTACTACAGAGAACAATGTGGTAGCCATACGGGAGGTGTCATTTTGCTTTAAATTGGAAGGACTGTTACAAATCCAGCTGGAGAAGACATCAGGAAAAAAAAAGGCCCTGACTTATAAGTGGGGGAGGGTAGTCCTGGTGAGGGTGTGGTAACAGGGCAGGGGTTGAGGTGTTTTGCTAAAGGAAAGGGAGGGGAGATCTAACACAGCCCTTAAACATCAGGCACTTGACAAGGAGGAGATACAGATTTTAGCTATTTTCATGAGGCAGTCTCCAACACTGCCTAGCTAATGAGCAGCTGGTTCCTGACCAGCATCTCCCACCCAGCGTTAGTCCTTGGTGGGGAATTTCCCCCTCCCTTAACTTCAGGGAAATTCCCCCACTCTTAAAATAATCTGCTAAAACCATATATTTGAGAAAACCTCTCGCTGATTGCTCAGACTTCCTCAGAGTTGAGATAAGCCATTCTGACTTCCCATCTTAAAAACGGAAATGGCCAGCCCAGGCGGGCAGCTCGTGTTCACGGCCGGGAGCAGCTGTCGTGGGCTGCTGCTCCGTGGGCTGAAACCACGGGTGGACCTCAAGAACTCAGGCCATGGAGATGCACACAGAGGCAACGAGCCGGGTCACAGGAACTGACAATGTCAAAACATGATGCACGACTTCCAGGGTCCATCCCCCTTCAGTGGTTCCCAAACACCCAGGGCCTGTGGCATCTATTCACAGGGAAGACGTTTAGAAAAATAAAGACCTTCCCTGCCCTGGGCCGCTGAGTCAGGCTGGGTGGTGGGGGTGGGGAATGAATGCTGAGAATTTGTTTTGAAAAGCTCCTCAAATGATTCTGACACCTGGAAAAATTTGGGAACGACTCGACCTTCAGGTTAAGCTTACTTAAACCACACCGCAGGCTCAGGTTGTTCTAGGACATAAGTCTTTTGTTGCCTGTCCATGCAGCAAGCCACAAGTTGCAGGCAATGGATTCTGACTGCATTGGCTGGAAACCTCTGCGTTAGCCAATCTGTATCACAGAGCGTCCCTTGTTCCAATGAACAGGACAAAATCCTTTCATCCATCCACGCTGATCTCTCCACCTGGAGCAACTTTCCCACCCAAAAGAGCCCATCAAATCCTGGCCCATCCTTCAAAAGTTTAACCACTGGCCGGGTGAAGTGGCTCATGCCTGTAATCTCAGCACTTTAGGAGGCTGAGGCAGGAGGACTGCTTGAGGCCGGGAGTTCAAGACCAGCCTAGGCAACATAACAAGATCCCGTCTCTATTTAAAAATAAACCTAAAGAAACAAAAACCAAACAAACAACAAACAAAAGTTGTAACCATCAGTGCTTGGTGACGGTTCCATGACTTATTTTTCAGCTCCCTGATCCTCTGCCATAACAACATCTGCCTTTGATGTTCTAGAAACATGTTAGACTAACCTCTTTTAAAATATGCATCACATTCATATTAGTTATTATTAAGTTTATATCTGTCCCTTTATATCCTCCCCCTACTCCTATCCTAGCTATGACTTTCTGAAAGACAAGGAACATGCTGAATAGTCAGTGTTGGGTGACTGAATTAAAGTATGAAATATGTTTCATGCTCCAGAATGTAAAATGTTACTGTTGGAAAAGTCACTAGTATATCCAATCTAGACTTTCAAGCCATTCTTCATAAATAGTATTTTTCAATCTTTTAAACATGTGGACAACAGTAAGATCAAAAGGAATCTTAGAAATTGACATATTAACGCTCACTGATAATCTGTTATTAATGTCTAAGGAGCTTTTAAAAATCATTCTCCCGATGTATAGCTTCACATCAGTATTCAACGCAGGGCCCTGCACCCTGGGCAGCCAACATCCCATTGGCTCCAGACCCCACAATCAAGCCAGCAGCTCCACTCTCTCCTGCTCTCAAAACTCAGCCTCTGTCCTGTCTCCAGTTCAGAGCTGGGGCGTTGGCTCTGGGCTTCTTTGTGTCTTGCGGTAAAGCTCTTAGGTTTTACCTCTGGCTTGTCCCACAGTGCCTGTCTTCTGTTCTTAGCCAGGAGCTGCTTGTTCTGGGGCTGCTGGCTCTGAGCACAGCTCCTCTCGTCCATTCCGGCTGACACCTGCCGATCCATCCTGGGACCTCTCCTCTGCTCCGCCGCTCCCTGACAGCTCTCTGGGCTGGTGTCTCGTCAGCCCTCCCAGTTTCTGACGGCTGCCCAGCTGGCTGGACGGACCTGAGCAATCACCCATCTAGCTTCCAGGCGTCTTAAAGTGCACCAGGCACTGCGCTCAGCACTGGAATAAGTCCTCTTGCGAGCCTCACAAGCATCCTGCAGTGTTGCTGTCTGATTATGAAGGAGGAAACTGAGGCTCAAAGAGGTTAAGTAACTGTCCCCAAGTTGCGGGGCTGGACTCAAAGCCAGGTGTGTCTGCCAGCAAAGCAATCCTGCTCTGAGCCTGTCTCAAGCTCGGCTTCAACTCACACTGACAGGAGGACAGGACAGGACAGCACAAAACAGCCGACAACCCACACACCCGCCCTCCCTGACATGGCATCCTCCTGGGAGCCACCAGGCTGTCCCTCAGGGTCTGTCAGAGCCCCACAACACCTCCCCTGCCCCCTCAGGGCTCTCAAATGAAAGAAACCCACCACAGGTAAGCTTTATTATTTGTTTTAAATATGGTGCTTGTTGTCATTTTATTACATGTACTCGCTCAGTAGAGCGCATAGGAGTGGCAACAGTTTTCGCAGTGCACGGACCGAGGCCCCTCTCAGTGAGGCGGGCGAGGGACTGCTGCAGAGGGTCGAGGCCGCAGAGGGCAGGTTCTGGTATGCTACTTCTCCAGCAGCGCCGAGGGAGCACCGCTCAGGGCTGGAGGCTGGGTCGGGCTCCCCTCGGCCTCCACTCTGTGGAAGGGGGTGGAGGAATGCTGGAGGACAGCCGGGGGCCACCCGCCCCCGCCCCTGCCCCGCCCGTTCATGCTGGCTGCGCTCCCCGCAGGAATGAACACACCCCTGCTCAAGGCCATGGGTGCAGGAACCCGGGGAGGGAGCACCCGCATGCCCGCTTCCTCCACCCGGGTCTTGCCAGGGCTGTCTCGCTAGCATTGCCGAGCCCTCTCACTCATGTGGTCTGTGTTCTCAATATAGAAATCGCAGGGCAACTTTTTTTTTTTTCTTTTTTCTAAATTTTGGTCTGTAAAGCGGAGTACACGCCAGTCTTGTTTTGATAATCCACCAGACACAGAAGCCGTAACCACATCCCTGCTTTCTCTCTGCCAGCACAGAAACCAATCAAAACAAGGAAGAAAGCACAAACTACAAACTGCACTGCTCTGACAGGGCCCCAGGCTGCCGCGAGCTGCCGTCTACGGCTCCCATTCATTTCAGGCGAGGCGCTGGCGGCTATTTAGGGCGAAAACAGAGACAAGATCTGTTTCTAAAGCATCCTATTGTATCCATGTAGTGCAGCCAGGGAAAAGTCTGTCTGTGAAGTCTTGTTTTTTCTTACTTCCTTTTAAGAATGTGAGGATTTGAGTTTACGGCTTCCTAGTGTGAGAGTAGACCGTTTCTTTCACATTTAAATAGTCCAAAGAGTCCAGTTGACAATACTCACAGAAATACTAAAAAGAAAGCGGGAGATAAGGCACAAAGCAGTAAGCAAATACTGGGTAATGTCACTTTTGAAAACAGGAAACTATTTTTCAAAGATCAGTTCACAGTCTTAAACCTCACACATCCTAAATTAGCAAGAAACATTTTTATACACCCCAACAATATACTCTTGAATAAAGGAATTTCACGTAATAGAAGCAAAAACCAGTAACAATACCAGCAGCAAAACCCAGACCCCTTACTCAGGAAGGATGGTTCAGGCTTGATTCTTACAATTTTCTACTCCAGACAAGCAACTGTGCCATAAACAAAACCAATTTCTTTAACTGACTATGTCCACAACTAAAACTATCCTCAGTACCCTTTACAAGAAGAGTGAGCTTTTCCCCACATGCTCACACCTGACAAGCAGCAGAGAGAGAGAGAGAGAGAGAGAGAGAGAGAGAGAGAGAGAGAGAGTGAGAGAGAGAAAGAGAGAGAGAGAAAGAGAGAGAAAGAGAGAGAAAGAAAGAACTGCAACTTGGGAACGAAACAGCTGAATCAGCAACATGTCACAGTACAACAATCCATTCTCTGCACACATACCCAAGTGAAGGCTTTCCAGACTCCAGAATCTTGCTATCTCTCCTCTAGCTACCATCTTTCTGTTTAGAAAACGGCAACCTTCAGAGCAGGACTGGGGTGTGACTGAGGAGCCGGTCCCCAAGCATCACCGAGGACTGCACAGGCTGGCAGCTACGGGAACTGCAGAAATCGCTTATTCACTGCTTTGACGCTGTGTGCGTTCCCGGCCAGAGCCTGCCCAGAAACTGACAGCTGGCTCCACACTCCGTGTGACCAAGGTCTAGTGGCCACAGTGACATTGCGGGGGCCTTCAGTAGAAAATCCTAATCTAAGGCAAAACCTATACACACCAGAGCCAAACACGCTCACAAGCCATCAGGTGCTGTTGAGAGCCTTCAGTGAAGGTAGGAGAAATGGTATGTGCTGTTTTTAACTACAAACCCTAAACCTGAGTTAAACTTTCAGAGAGCTTTTCAAAAGGTATTTATTTCACAAGAAAACAGCACCGGGGTCACTTAGTTCAAAAATATAGTTAGGATTTCACAACGTGGTATGACAAAAATTTGAGTTATGACATTGCATTGTTAGCTATAAATTCATGAAATCACTTTAAAAGAGTGATTTTGTTCAGAAGGTATACATGTAAAGGCATACACGTAAAGTTCTCTCCAGCTAATATATTCTGGGTTGTTTTTATTTCCTCTATACTCTTCTATACTTTCCAAATTATCTACGACGAGCAAGTCTGTCTTTCATATTGTGAAATGACTGTTAACAAAGAGTGAGCTTCCTTCCATTTCCCCATAAGCAGAAGACACTGCTTTTTTAACTTTAGGAACAATGAGATAATATATATGCAAAGTAGTGACCTCATAGTAACCTCTGAATAAATGCGGGTTTAAGCTGGGCCCGCTGGCTCATGCCTGTAATCCCAACTACTCAGGAGGATGATGCAGGAGGATTGCTTAAGCCCAGGAGTTCATGACCAGTCTGGGCAACATAGCAAGACCCTATCTCTAAAAATTAAAAACAGGTCTGGGCAAGGTGGCTCACACCTATAATCCCAACACTTTGGGAGGTCAAGGTGGGAGGATCAATTGAGCTCAGGAGTTTGAGACAAGCCTGGGCAACATAGCAAGGCCCCGTCTCTACTAAAAAAAAAAAAAAATTATATTAGCCATGCATAGTGGCATGTGCCTGTGGTCCCAGCTACTCAGGAGGCTGAGGTGGGAGGATTGCTTGAGCCCAGAAGGTGGAGGCTGCAGTAAGCTATGATCGTACCACTGTACTCCAGCCTTGGTGACAGAGTGAGATCCTGTCTCTAAAATAAAATAAAATAAAATAAAAAATTAGCTGGGCAGAGTGGCACATGCCTGTCATCCTAGTTACTCAGGAGTCTGAGATGGGAACATCGCTTGGGCCCAGGAGTTCGAGGTTGCAGTAAACTATAATCACACCACTGCACTCCAGTGTTGAGTTACAGAGCTAGATCCTGTCTCTAAAATAGATCCATCCATCCATCCATCCATCCATCCATCCATCCATCCATCCATCCATCCAGGTTAAACAAGTGATAGTGCCAATTAGTAAAATGCGTGCTTTATAGTGATGGGCTTTGGAGTCAGACTGCCCGTGTTCAAAATCTGCTTTCCCATAACAAAATCAGGGAAAGTTTCCAAGCCTCTGGGCAGCTCACTTTCCACATCTGTGGAGTAGGGATAACTGGACAGTCCATAATCCTCATAGAGTTACTCGAGAACATATTCCAGTGTTTAGAGCAGCACTGGCTCTTCACTGGGGATTAGCCATCATGCTGCTGCTGTTGCTCCAAAAAACCTGTGATCCCTTAATAACATGCTAGTTCCCAGAGAAATCACAGCATGCACTCAGAACGGAAAGCTGTATGATTAGTAATAACACACATGTTGACTGTATATGATATTGTAGGCTTTTCTTATCTTCAAATAACTGTGGCTATTTCTGTTGATCTGGTGCATCCCACCCTTAAATGCAGGTAAGGACAGTTTTCTGGGAAACTCGTAGCCTTAGTTACCCGCACTACAAGTGAAACACACACACGATCACACAAACTCTTATGACCAGATCAGCTGGAAATCTTTCTCTTACAGAAATTTTATTTATTTTATTTTGAGATGGAGTCTCACTCTGTCACCCAGGCTGGAGTGCAGTGGCGTGATCTCTGCTCACTGCAACCTCCACCTCCTGGTTCAGGTGATTCTCCTGCTTCAGCCGAGTAGCTGGGATTACAGGTGTGTACCACCACACCCAGCTACTTTTTGTATTTTTAGTAGAGATGGGGTTTCACCATGTTGGCCAGACTGGTCTCGAACTCCTGACCTCAGGTGGTCCGCCCACCTCAGCCTTCCAAAGTGCTGGGATTACAGGCATGAGCCACTGCACCCAGCCTCTTATAGGAATTTAAAAAGATGATTTAAAAGAGGCAAATATTTAAGATGTTTAACAGATGATTCATTCAATAGAGGCATATTCACAATAAAGGTGGTAGTTTATTAAATTATAGACTCAAAAGACTCCTTGATATTGTTTTTCACAGCAGACTACCCTCTCTCTCGTGTAAAGTCTCCTAAGTATACCTCATGGAATACTAGTTGCATACTACGCTCCGAAGAAATAGTTTGAAAACCACTGTATATTGTATCTACTTCTTGGACATCCTACAGCATTCATCAGTAATCACAGGCTCTAAGAAGTTCGCACTGACAGCTGTGCCATCTTGTTTAACAGAGAATTTAACTATCGTGTTTGGCCATGATGCTCTCTTTTCACAACAACACATATTACTACACCAAAAGAAGGTATCCTCTGGCCTTGGTACTCATAGTAGGGCCGATGGACCAGCAGCATCAGCATGACCGGGAGCTGGTGAGAAATTCAGATTCCTGGACCCTGCCCCAGGACTGCAGAATCAGAATCAGCATTTTAACAACATCCCAGGTCGTTCAAATGCACATTCAGGTTTCAGAAGTGCTGTTCTAGGCAACTCAAGAAACTGTACAACATACTTGGAGAAGCACTGCCATGAGACAAAATCTTGAATATCCATATCTTTTCTCATCAATTGAGAAACTAGCGAAGACCATGGAATGAATGGGTGGGTTTGAGCTTAGTCATTCTGACTAAGGTAAAATGCATAATACTCAGATACAAAGCAGCAGAAAGTAGGAATTAATTCTCAAGGTTATCCATCCCAAAAAAGCCTAAATTCCAGAAGGAGGCAAATAAAATCTAGTGTTTTCATTCTCTATAAAGTTTTTGTTGTTGTTGTTAAAATCATTAGTTTTCAAAAAGCTCTCTTGGCTTCATTTTCTTAGAACTTGGTAGGGTCTGTTTGCTCACTTTCACTTTTCATTGGCATCTGGTACAAGAGGATAGTTTCTGTTTCCCAAGCACTTTCTCTCAATCCAGAGATGGGGTCAGGACACTAGACTAACAC